CTAGGTACAGAGTGCAATTTCGAGTTTACCTACATCATATTCTCCTGATTATGGAATAACATCGAAGAAAACAAGACTCGAACCTAAACAATTTTCAGATCCTTCAGAGTCCCCTTTGATTTTCAGTCACGGCAGTAGTATTCATTTGGCAAAATATTCGTCGAATCAAGAAGCTCTATCAGAATTTACAAAACTACAAACAGGGAAAAGGTCTAAATATCGTAGAATGAAACAAAATCGAGGGTCACATAAAATGTATGATCGTACCGTAGAAAATAAACCAGTTAACTCAGTGGCCGAATCTGAATCAAGGATTATGAGTAGTTTAAACGGACTAGATATGGAAAGAAAGTGTTGTCCAGATAACGATCAAGTTAAATGGAAATCAGAAGCAAAGGGTACATCATCATCTTTACTTCATGAAATGAAAACGTCTGAACAACTCGGACAAAGACTTAAAAATAGTAGAATACAATCGAATTTACGGAAACTAGCAATGAACAGATTTCGTCAAATCAAAAGAAGGCAAATAAACAAGAGATTTGAGCAAGAAAAGCTGACCGATCAAACAATAAAAACAAAACAACAAGAGATACGTGCATATTTGCCGTCACCTTATTCAAAGGAATTGGCGAATACGCCCAGGACAAGACAAATCCACTTTAAGAAGTCGATTGTTCATATAACAAATGGACCAAAGGAGTTGGATGTACTGTCACCGTCATTAAACACGCTCACTCCTCAAAATGACAGAGAGCATATTAAGGATAAAGAGCCGACTGGCCAGACAGATGTACCATTACTATTACCATGTTCTCTGAAAAGAGGGATGAAAAGGTTTCATCAACTCAATGGAAGGCATAAAAGGAGTAAAATCCAACAAGGCAAACCATTTACAAAGAATAGAGATGAATCAGAAGAGATAGATGCAAATCAAAGTGCACTCCCTTCTCCTTCAGAGAAAGTCAGTATGGACGATGAAGATGAAGGTGATGAATCAGGTTTACAGGATGAAGAGGATCAAAATGAGGAATCTAGTTCACAGGAAGAAAGTGAAAAACCAATACCACAGGAAGATGAAGATCAAAGTGAGTTAGATCTACTTGATGGCTTGAGTGTCACAGAAGAGAAAAGTCCTTCCAATCTTCAAAGTTTGCTTCCCACAGAGAAAGAAAGCATCACTACAGACATAGGAAATATTCAAAGTACTGAACTAATTCAATCAAGTCTCACTGAAAACGAAAGTCCCATAGAAGGTAATCCAAACTCCCATCAAGGGATTCCAAGCCATCCGAGTCCTCCGGAAGATTACAACCCACCGAGTCCCATAGAAGGTTATCCAAATTCCCATCAAGGGATTCCAAACCCTCCGAGTCTTCCAGAAGATTACAGCCCACCGAGTCATCCGGAAGATTACAAACCACCTAGTCCAAGACGTTCCCAAGGAGAAGACCATCCCACTCGTCATCCAAGTCCTCTGAAAGATTACAGCCCACCGAGTCATCCGGAAGATTACAACCCACCGAATCCCATAGAAGGTAATCCAAACTCCCATCAATGGATTCAAAGCCCTCCGAGTCCTCCAGAAGATTACAACCCACCGAATCCAAGACGTTCCCAAGGAGAAGACCACCCCACTCGTCGTCCAAGTCCTTTTAAAGATTACAGTCCACCGAGTCATCCGGAAGATTACAACCCACCGAGTCCAAAACGTTCCCAAGGAGAAGATCACCCCACTCGTCGTCCAAGTCCTCGTAAAGATTACAGCCCACCGAGTCATCCGGAAGATTACAACCCACCGAGTCCAAAACGTTCCCAAAGAGAAGATCACCCCACTCGTTGTCCAAGTCCTCCGGAAGATTACAGCCCACCGGGTCCTCAAAGTCCAAGACGTTCCCAAAGAGAAGATCACCCCACTTTTCCTCCAAGTCCTCCGGAAGATTACAGCCCACCGAGTGCCCAAAGTCCAAGACGTTCCCAAAGAGACGATCACCCGCCTCGGCGTTCAAGTCCTCCGGAAGATTACAGCCCACCGAATCCTCAAAGTCAAAGACGTTCACAAAGAGAAGATTATCCCACTCATCGTCCAAGTCCTCCGGAAGATTACAGCCCACCGAGTGCTCAAAGTCCAAGACGTTCCCAAAGAGACGATCACCCCACTCGTCGTCCAAGTCCTCTGGAAGATTACAGCCCACCGAATCCTCAAAGTCCAAGACGTTCCCAAAGAGAAGATCACCCCACCCACCGTCCAAGTCCTCTGGAAGATTACAGCCCACCAACCCCTCAAAGTCCAAGACGTTCCCAAAGAGAAGATCACCCCACCCACCGTCCAAGTCCTCCGGAAGATTACAACCCACCAAGCCCTCCAAGTCCAAGACGTCC